AGGCGGATCTAGGATTTGGAGGTCCTGGGTGTCACATCGTTCAAGTAAGATAAACGGGTCGGTTGCTTTAATTTTGGGTTACAATTCGGGTTATTATCTTTTTTGATTTTTATAAACAAATCGATCAAACATGCATGTTAGTAATATTTTCTTTTAGATATTATGTGATGAGAGATAACTAAACAATTCATTTTTTTTAGGAATTAAAGGCCTTATTCACTTAGACTTTGAGGAAAATTAATTTTTTTTTCAAATTAAAATTTGAGCTTGTATAAACCATCTTATAGTGTTAACTTAATATATACATATTCATTGACTTTATGTGTTGTTGCAGATATATTGTAGAGAGAATAAAATTATAGTTTCAACCTAGTCATCTTACTAATTAGCAAGAATGTCGGTGAAGATCGAAAAAACCTTTAAATTGAAAGAACTCTAGTAATAATATTCATCATTTTTAAAACATACTTTTTCTTAAAAACTACTATTTAAATACATTCTTAATAATATTTATGTGATATTGATAATTCAGTATTCATTAACTGATAAAGAATAAACACGCGACACTCATATCAAGAGATTAATAATTAGTGAAAGTGAAAGTTAAAAAAATTAAGAATTAACTATGGTGAAAAGGAGCCAATTTGAAATTAATAAAGTATAGTAAATAAATAAGAATGAATGGAATAAAAAAAAACTAAAGCCCTTTACACATTAATTAAAAAAAAAACAAAAAAGAAAACAAAACTAAAAAAAAGCTTCACTACGCACAAACCAAGCAAAAAAAACAATGCTAGTAGTGAGGTTCGAATTTGCATTGCAAGTGTGGCACGTCATGCCTTTTACCAATTGAACCATTTATCATTTCATTCAGTGGGTGGCAAAGCTAATATATATTAACATCTGATACATATATACATATATACAACAATTTTTCCGAAATCACTGGGTGCCGTGGCACCCCCACCCGTACCCTTAGATCCGCCCCTGATTTATAGTACCTTTTATATACTTTTTGAATATCTATTTTTTTGCTTAAAATATCAAATTAATATAATCTAATTTAACTTTTAAAATTAGTCAAATTGACTTCGAAAAGCACAATATGACAAATGAAAGTGGACGGAGAAAGTATTATTAATCATTATTACTTAAACATTTCATCATAATATATTATATATATTCTTTGATTTGCTATTAATAATAATAATAAATTTTTTTAATAATAATAATTATTATTTATAATATATTTTTCACTAACCAATCAAATATGAAGTACATTTTCTATGAAAAGGGACTTTTATTAACAAAACTTTTGGAATAATCGATTCGTTTGTCAAGTAAAAATAAAAAGTGGTAATTAAATATTTTCTTATTTATTTTTCCAATGCCACCTAAAAGATTCTCTTGAAATTTCCACTACTTTATTTTCCTTTTCAAAATTTTCCACTAAAGTAAAAATGTATGGGTAATACTAAATGGTCAAAAAAATTTGGTCAGAATTTTTTAAAAATTATAATTTTTTTTAATTTTAAAACAAATTGATTTTTTTTATTGTTTAATTAAAAGGTATTAAAGTTAAAAAAGTAAAAATGTTTAAAAAGGTAAAATAACATTTTGGCCAAATTCTGACCAAATTCTCTAGCCAAAAGGATTTTTCCAAAATTTATATTACTTTATTGCCGACTTCGAAAAATATCACAAGAATCTTGGGAAAAAAAATGACCAAAAAATTATCAACAATGCCTATAAATAAACAACTTGCATGAAGGAAATTAATATCAATAACTTGAATATATATAAACCATGGCAAAAAAACTTCAATTTTTCACAATTTTCTTAATGATGACCCTTTTCTTACTTTGTAACTCTTCATCAATAGTTACTGATGATGATGGTGAATTAACATCGTCTAAAATTGTTGAAAATTATAATGATATTAGTAGTGCATCAAAGAAAATTTCAAATGAATTGCTATCCTTGTTGTGCTTTTTCATGTCCATGTTCTTCTTAAAAATAACGCGGCGCGTATTAATTTGTGTATATGAATTTCAGTTGTACCATATTCTGCTAGGTGCAGTGCAATAGTTTAGAGTTGGAGGTCAAAACACATTTAAAGTATCACGATTTTTTTGAGTTTCATGTTCGAACTATCAGGTTTGTGAGCTTCATATATACTATCACCAAATGTTTATTGAAGTACAACTCAACTACTAATTGTTAATTACTTTTCCTATCTCTGCATAATGATGATATTTCCCAATAAATTTTACAAATCAAAATATATCACTGAATGTACAACTTTAGGGGGTATCTATGAATTAAATGTTTAAAATATGGATAAGACACAAGTACCTCCTAGACTATGACCCAAATTCTAGATATACATCTTAACTAAATTAAGGTCTATTGAATCCCCTGCCCCCAATTTTTTTTAAAAATTTATACACCATTTGACTTACGTGACACACTTTGCGACTCCATGTAGTTGAGTCACGTGAGAGATATTTGGATGCCACGTAAGCTAAAAAGGTGTGCAAAATTTCAATGGACTGAATGATTTACTCACCCTAAGATAGTCGAGATCACTGGAAACAAGAAAATGTCCACAAGAGGTTTCATATATTTGTTGCATATGTTAATGAAGAACAAATGCAACTAGTAAAAAAAAAACAAGTTGGGGGGGGGGGGGGGGGATAGAACCTTAGTTTATTTAAGATGTGTTTCTGAAATTTCGATTATAATCTAGAGGGATAGTTATGCTTATCCCTTTAAAATACAAGTATTCAAGTGAGACGGTGCGTGATTCATGTGCAACAAAATGGTGGTTGCTAATTAAATCATCAACTTGCTAATTAAAAAACAATTTAGATGACTAAGTGATAAATTCATTTAACTTTTCTAATTAAACCATAATCAAGTTGGTTGCTTATAAAAGAAAATATGTATTTTAAATAAATACAAGATGGGATATCACACAAACTATAAATTGTAGGTCTCAATTTCATCATAATTGCACAATATATATACATTTGCTATGGATAGAAACACGATATACTTCTTTTTGCTTTAATTTTGATAATATTTTTTTGCAATTAGTAGTGCTGCTTCTTCTTCTTCTTCATATGATCATATCATGTCCAGAATATGTACGTGAACCATTTTAATCCCGAGATAAAACACAAAAATGACCAAAGTTGCCCTTCTCCAAATATTTTTTTAATTTAAAAAAAAATATAATTTATCTATTTACAAAATTACATAAAAAATATTATAAGTCACAGTAATTAATATTCAAAAAAATTAAAAAAAAACTATGGTAAAATAATAATAATTCTTTGACGGTCTAAACAATAACTAATATACTCCATTCTTTTGGACATAAATGTCCTTGATGATATCATTCATGACATCAATAAACCATATAAAATAATTGACATCAATAATGTGAATTGATTTATTATTTAAATAAAGTGGCTTTGGACCTTCAAGTCTTCCAACTATGACCAAGTTGATTATAGATCTAGTCCTCAAAATAATTGTTCTTTGTCTGCATAATTTTTTCACAATATATATATATACTAGTAAACGTACCCGCGCTTCGCGCGGTTATGAAAAGCTTTACTGAATTTATGAATAATTATTCTTTTTAATACCTAAATATTTGAAGAATTGTAAATATTTACGAATTGCAAATTTTTACAGCTTCAAGTCGTGAAAATAGCTTCTTGCAGAAATGTAAGACAGACCACATGCAATAAACTCTTGTGGTTCATTCCTTCCTCGAATTTCGCATATAGATGAAGTTATAATACACCAAACAACCCCTTTTAAGCATATACTTTTAGTCTTCAAATCCAAAAGCACCCATAATGAGGTTGAGTATGCTCCCTCCTCTTGCGATTCATTAAAAATTCAAGATGGAACACCATTCTTAGTAGTAAAATTTCTAATTTCTCCATTTTTTTATTAAAAAAATTACATAATTTTCTATTTTCCTGTCGCTCCTCGGCCAATGCCATGATATATAAGTTTTTTGAAAATTTTTATTGATACATATGAAACTCGTAATTTATGAACCTATAGTTTTTAATGAATTTATGACGATGGTTGAGATTAACTTAAGAATTTACAATGTGACAAAAGTGTGAAACATAAAATAGATGATTGATACTTCAATATTTGCATTTTGCATCAAGAAAGTCATTCTACAAAATTTCATCCCCGTGGAGACCAAATATATTATTATTAGTCAAAATAACATATTAATAAATCACCAAAACAATAATTAAAAATAGGATAAATAGAATTAATTACATTGAAGTAACAATGTTTTTGTCCAAAGAAATTACAAATACATAAAGTCTTCCACGGGCATCAAAAACGTATTCTAGATTACCTATTCACCCGTTATTGACATCATTTCCAATTTTTTAGCTAGTTATAACTTTTGTCTTCATTCTTCACTTGAAGAAGTCTTATCATCTTTTTCTAAGGCTAAACAATTAAATATCTCCATCAAAATATGATAAAAATGCAGATAAGCAAAATGAAGATAAAAAGACTCAATCACAATAAATGAGTTACAAATATTAAATAATTACAGAAATAATTAAATAAATATGTACATTTAGGAGTTATAATGGAATCAATATTCAATGTATTAATTGTAATTAAATAACGGGCAAAAGTCTATTGAGAGAAATGGACCAAAAAGCAACACATAAAATGTGCAATAAGGAAAATTTAAAGTGGGGTACTAATAATTGTGTCATTCATCGTCACATTAACACATAAAAATAAAGAAAAAAAGAAGATAAATGTAATTTTAGCCAAAGAAATGTCAGATCACCCATGAATTCATATCCAACTTTATATAATACTCATTATTTTTTATTTGGCTGATATTAGTATTTATTTACTGATTATTCATATCATAGTAGTTTTAAAAAAAATTTGATAAATATTAGCAAAAAAGGTTTATAAAAAATTAAATAGCATTCTTGGAAAATAAACTGCAAAAGAAAATTATTTAGGTAAAAACTATTAGTAGAAATTAAATGAAAACATATTCCAAAAGGAAAAAAATAAATCAAGAATAATAATCCAAATAAATTATATGTGTTTCCTCGCTCAAAAGATATGTAATTTTATATTTATTAATAGAGTTTTTTCGCACCTTTTAAATTGAAGCCAAAAAAAAACCCAAAAAAATAGAATTAACTTTTCAAAGAATAAAGGGCAAATAACAAAATGTTAACTATGGCTTGATATAGCAAAGGAGCTTTCATGCTTGCGAAGTTCATTAAATCTACACCACTTGTGCTTTATCTCGGCGAGACAACAACAATGCTTCAAACATATTATTGTTTGTTATTATGTTATTGAGTTAAACACAAACATTTTAAGAACTAAAACAGAATAGGCATAAGGGATCTAAAACAACCATGTAGAAACATGTAAACCTGTTATTGACTACAAAATTTTCAAAAACACGTTTTTATAATATAATTTATAATTATTTTTAAATTTTCAATTTTCAATAGTGTATTTTTTTAAAAAATTTTTTACCTGTCAAGTGTCAACCATGGTGGAACTTCAGAACAGCACAAAGAGACATGTAAACCTGTTATTGGCTACAAAATTTACGAAACACATTTTTATAATAGATTTTGTAACTATTTTAGATTTTCAATTCGAATAGATTTTGAAAAAAAAATTTACCTGTCGACCATGGTGCAACTCCAGAGCATCACAAAAATTGACATAATGCATTGGATGAGCCAACAGTGCGATTCCTTCTTATATTTCAAATGATGACTTTTGGGCTTTCTAGTTGTTAAATGGCATAATTTATGAGTCTTTTCAGTTTATAGGTAACAGTCCACTATTTAATTTTTAGACATTTTACATTAAATTAGATAGAAAAAATAGAATAAAATGTCAAAAAAAAAAGGATAAATGTGAATGCTGGCCTTAGAAGCATGCCACATCAGCATTTCTATATTCTCCTTTATATATATACTAGTTATTAGGTTCCCGCGCCAGCGCGGGCCCAATGTATATTACTTCCTCCGTCTCATTTTATGTGAGGTAGTTTGATTCGCCACGGAGTTTAAAAAAGAAATGAAGACTTTTAAAATTTGTGGTCCAAAATGAATGATATAAATTTGTATGACTGTAAATTATTTCATTAAGGGTAAAATAAATATTTTATAATCAAATTGTTACTTAATATAGAAATGTGACATTCTTTTGGGACTGACTAAAAAGGAAAGTAAATAACATAAATTGGGAGTAGTTCTTTGTTTCAATTTATGTGACACCGATGAAATTTGGAGAGTTATATAATTTTTTGTATGTGATTTTGTTAAATATATTTTGAAGTTGTTAATTTATTGTGATTTATAGCACTTCTTATATCATTTTCAAATAATATATATTACTCTTTCTGTTCCATTTTATGTGACGTAGGTACTTTTACGAAACTCAACTAAATTTCTTATATGATTCTTAAATATTTGTAGTTGTTATTTTACTTTAATTTACGTTACTTTTTATGTTATTTTCAAACAAACTTCTTATGTTTCAATATGGAATTAAAGAGTCAATAAAATTTCTTTTATGATTTTTAATTATGTTTTTTTAATATCTTATATTATTACATTGTGATTTTAAGTACTTTTTATGTAATTTTTAAATCTAGAACAAATTAAAAGAAAAACAAGGAAAAATTTAAATGAAGAAAGTACTAAAATTTTCAAATAATCATATTTCTATATTAAAATGTTAAAAACTTTAAAACTCCACATATATGCAGAAAATCATATACGGAAGACAAAATAATTTTTAAAATATATATTAAAGCTCTTTCTAATAATATCACATATTTATTCTATTTTTCAAATAATATATATTTCTCACTCAATCTCAATTACGCAGTACATATGAAATTTCGAGAGTTAATCAAATTCTTAGTACTATTTTAAACTATATTTTAGTACTATTTATATAATTTTCAAATAATATATGTTACTACTCTATTATATTATGCAATACATGTGAAATTTCAAGAATTAACCAAAATTTTAATATTTTAAATTGATTTTTAGTACTATTTTTGTAGTAAATAGAGGAAGTTGAAGAAGAAGGGCAAATCGGTCAATTGACTGACTAACCCTAAGCTCCTAAACATTCTCACTTCTAAATGGAAGCACGGGCACAATATCCGTTAAATTGTTAATTATTATGATTTATAATATTTTTTACATTATTTTCAAATAATATATGTTATGTATTTTTAAATACTTTAAGTTGTGATTAATAATATTCTTAACGTAATTTCAAATAATATATGTTACTCCATTTGTCCCAATTTATGTGACACATGTGAAATTTTGAGAGTTAATATGTTTTTCAAATATTGTAAGTTGTTAACTATTGTGGTTTATGGTATTCTTAATGTAATTTTTCAAATAATATATGTTATTCCCTTCGTCTTAATTATACAATTCGCGTAAAATTTTGAGAGTTAATCGAATTTGTAATATTTTAAATTTATTTTTTAGTACTATTTAAAAAGGAAAAAATTAAAATATAATGAAAGAGGAGTGTATAAAAGTAGGTGGGCCATCTTCAAAAACCAAATATAAAAGTAGGTGGGCCATGGTGCCACGTGTCGAAAGAAGAGTGAATTTTATTCACTCTTCTTATATAGTATATAAATATATATGATATATGATTTAAATAAAATAAAAGTAGGTGGGCCATGATGCCACGTGTCGAAAGAAGAGTGAATTTTATTCACTCTTCTTATATAGTATATAAATATATATGATATATGATTTAAATAAAATAAAAGTAGGTGGGCCATGATGCCACGTGTCGAAAGAAGAGTGAATTTTATTCACTCTTCTTATATAGTATATAAATATATATGATATATGATTTAAATAAAATAAAAGTAGGTGGGCCATGATGCCACGTGTCGAAAGAAGAGTGAATTTTATTCACTCTTCTTATATAGTATATAAATATATATGATATATGATTTAAATAAAATAAAAGTAGGTGGGCCATGATGCCACGTGTCGAAAGAAGAGTGAATTTTATTCACTCTTCTTATATAGTATATAAATATATATGATATATGATTTAAATAAAATAAAAGTAGGTGGGCCATGATGCCACGTGTCGAAAGAAGAGTGAATTTTATTCACTCTTCTTATATAGTAATATAGATTAGTGTGCCACTTCTAAGAACTTTTGAAACACTTTCATCAACTCATTATTTTGTGAATTCCACTCAACTCCAATGGTGCTAGTTTTTTTTATTGTGTTTGTACAGATGCTACTCTTAACTGATGTAGTCTCGTCGCACTTCATTGTTGAGACTCTTCCAGGATTTGATGGACAACTTCCATTTAAACTTGAAACAGGGTAAGTATATACATTTATTTATTTTTATCTTTATATATATAATTAAATAGTTACTAATTTGTATATTTTCATGATTAGTTATATTGGTGTTGGAGAAGAGGAAAAATTGCAGCTATTTTACTATTTTGTAGAATCTGAGAGGGACCCACAAAATGATCCTCTTATGATTTGGCTCACTGGAGGTCCTGGTGGCTCTGGTCTATCTTCCTTTCTATATGAAATTGGTATGTCAATTTTAATTCTGTTCTACTTTAAATAATTCACTTATTTTTGTATATGTGTATAAATTGTCACTTTTATAAGTATCTAATGATATAATGTTTTCATGAATATAAATAATTTATCATTTAGCAAACATCCCTTATTCGTTATAGGCTGAACTCATCGGTGACCCTTAAAGTTGACATCAGTTTTCTACTTAGACACCTTTAACTAGGCTTTGTTCAGTTTAGACACCTTATGTCATGTCGCATTGTATCATTTTGACACTCTTTACTGACATGATATGGTGAGTGTAATACACTTATAAAAGGGGCGTGAAAGACTTATTTATCCAATTTTAAATTGTTGGTCAATTTTTTAACTAGGAACAGTTGATTTCTAATAAAGTTTTGATTTTTTTTTAGAATTCTTGAGTTGTGCACCTTTTGGTAAAATATAGATGGAGTGGATTTGGTTAGGAAACAAAATGAGTTATGCATTTTAATTGATCCTAAAAAATTTAACTATTAAAGTTAAAGAGATTTGAGATATGGAGAAGACCAAGAGGTGGGGCTGGGTTTGATTTGCTGGAGAAGACGATTGGAAGTAGATTTTTTTTTAAAAATGATTTAATCAAAATTATTTGAGCAAAAATGTCAGGTGTTGTTGATTCATTGGCTAATTTTTTTAGTTTTATTCAAAATTCATTATTAAAGAATTATATTGGTGTCAAATGACAAATGTCTTCATTTAATTCGACAACTTTGACACATCATTGTGAAATAAGTGTCAAAATGACACAGCAGAACCTCACATGAGGTGTCTAAAATGAACAAACTCTAGTTAAGGTATCTAAGTGAAAATTCATGCCAACTTTAAGGGGCCACCAATAGTTTCAGCCTATATCGATAGTGTATTCGACTTTTAGTATGCGATACCATGGCCGGGCATATGATTAATAATCACTTAGGATGTGTTATGTAAGATGAAAATGATTTCTAGGAAAAAGAATAGGTTTTTTTTACTTATTTCTTGTGTGCTAAGAAAAAAGTTATTATCCTAAAAGGATTTATATATAATCCCAAGTAAAATATGTAGGTAATTTATAGTTTTCTAGTAGTGCGTGCGTGTATATAAGGGAGAGTTGAAGCTCATTCTCCATGCTTGTTTCAGGCCCTTTAACATTTGATTATGCAAATTCTAGTGGAAATTTCCCTAAATTGGAGTTGAACTTACATTCTTGGAGCAAGGTTTTGTAAGCTTACTCTTTTGCTTATTGTTCGTGTATTAATTGACATGTAATGTAATACAATGTGGTTTTGATTACTAGGTGGCGAACATAATATTTATAGACCAACCTGTTGGCGCTGGATACTCATATGCAAAGACTTCAGAAGCTTATAACTCCAATGATACCCTCTCTGCAACTCTAATTTATGACTTCCTTAGAAAGGTGAGAGATTTTTTTTTTTGGATATGTTAATATTAATGAGACGAGTGTGAACGAAACGAAATTGTTGTGTTGTAGTGGCTTATGGATCATCCCGAGTACCTCAAGAATCCACTATATGTTGCTGGTGAATCCTACGCAGGCATTTATATTGCATTGGTTACTCGCAAAATATATGATGGTATTGTATCTTGTAATATATACGTGAATTTAGGATTAGTGTTTTAGTATATATGTTATCGCGTGCTTTTTCATTATAAGATTTTTCTTTCTCTCAAGGTGTTGAAGTTGGTGATGAGCCTCAAATGAATATCAAAGTATGAATACAACAATGCATTAATTTGTTGCTCATGATCTTCTTTGTATTCTCATTTTAGATTTTAATTTGCTGAAATGTAGGGATATATACAAGGCAATGCTAGCTGCAACAGATGCATACACTACCATGAATAGTAGAGTCAAATATGCTTATCATATGGGACTTATTTCAGATAAGATCTACCAGGTATGCTCACACACTTCAACATGGTATCAGAGCAAACAGACATATAGTTATGCTAACAAATTAAAGTAAAGTTGTTCCTTTGTGTAGTCCGCTAAAGCAAATTGCAATGGGAATTACGTTGACATTGATCCGAATAACATATTATGTCTAAATGCTCTTGAGAAAGTAAAAAAGGTAAGGGATCATCAAATTTTGCACTCTCCTCCTTTTAACTTCAATTATACCTAATACTCCATCATTGCATCTACCTATATAGTGTCTCAACAACATTCGAAGCCATCATATTTTAGAAAATTGGTGTGAGCAGTCATTTTTAATGAGCAATGTCCACTCATTATTTCCAATTCCAGGACC